TGTGCCAATCCTGAATCATGAGAAATAATATACAGTGATCTTGAAACTTGAAAAATAATAGAAAGAGGTCCTGAAGCACATGTATAAAATAAAAAATTTATTAGAAATCTAATATCAGTGATATATGACTTAGGAGCTCGAGTCTTAAAGACAAATAACAGACTGTATACTGGGTGTGCGTTCACCTATTTGTTTACATTTCATGCAATTACATCAGTTCATGATTTATGAAATTTAAACCAAAGCTGTAACATAATTTTAGTCACGGCACAAGTCACTAATAATTTTAGGGCAAATACTTCATTTGTCAGTCGCATCTTATAGTATATACTGTAATAATATTTTGAAATAAGCTGTAATTGTACCCTAGCCTGTCTAATATCTTTGGTTCAATACAATTGACAAGTGGGCTGTCTTAGAATTCATGAAAAACCTTTGCTACAACCTCAAGAAAACATGCCTTTTATCAGGATATCAATTAAATTCTCTTCTTCAACCAGATTAACCACACCAATGTTATTGTTACCATTGTGACTATCGACACTTTTTACAAATAATACACCGATAGTTGAGCACTGAGACTCAGACTGACATATCATACCATGTTTTCAAATATGTTTGGCTTTGGTTAAAAACCAATATCCTTAAACATTTTAAATACTTCAGCCTACAGAATTTCAATAATGATGGTCAATTATTCCACTTACCGAGAATACTATAATTACTTCTTTCTCATTAAAATTCTTTTGGGTTTAATTGAAGTCTGAAAAATTAGGACTAATATTGGGTGTTTTGATGCATCATACTGTTGTCAGTAAAATTAAAAAACCTATTGAGGAGGTAGGGTTTAACAGAGAGACACAGAGGCTTAATAAATATGGTTGCACTGAATTTTATTAGTAAGGAAATTTCATTTTTTACATCCTGAAACCAAAAATCACAATTACAAAGTCACAGAGTGAACATACCTAATTCAAACAACATTCACACTTTCACACTTTCTATTATCATCGTACTATTCTGTTAAGTTTTTATTGGATGAGTCAGAGACTAATGGATTGGTATGAGGGCAGTTAATTTGTAATAATTTTTGCATGTATTCATTTACTAACTTTTGACTACTGTATAAATGGTCAGCCAGTTAAATAAGTATTTTACTGAGGGTACTGCCTGACGATTTACATGTCAAAGAGAATTCCAGCTATGAAAGATTGAATATTTTCTGAGCATGTTGGAACAGAAGATCTTGAATTTAGTGAAGGATGGAGAGAACCAAAAAATATATCAGGCATGAAGGAGGGTTTATATCCAAAAGCGAAAGGTGGAGGAATAATTAGACGAAGAAAACTAATTATACAAACAGACAGCCACGAATCTGCTGGAATTTAGGATATATAAACTGATAAATATATGAGAATATATAAATTTTATATATGCATCGCTTACCACGAATATACAGCATTCTTTATAGCATTCAAAATCCAAGTTTATAATTTCCATCAAAATAAAAACAAGCTTAAAATCTGCTGCCCGTTGTTTTATAATCTGCTGCTCGTTGTTAAAATAAGATTTTAAAAATCTTGTTATACCTTCATATTTTAAAAATCAAAGGCAGACCTAGCCTTCTCCGCAGGCATCTCTTAATCGTCGAGAACTTATATAATTTAGTTATTCAAATAACTGATATTCTGATTGGGTTACGTGTGCAGGGAGAAAATTGGGGAGAGATTAGATTCACCGATTCACTTTTCTTGCGATAGTAAGTCCTAGTTTTAAAGTAATTTTAATCTATCTGTAAATATCTTAGGGATATTTGCAGATACTATTCACAGGAAAAGTTACTTCCTCTTCATGTCTTTTTTGAGCACTTTGCTTTTTTGCTTCTCTTTTATTTTGTAAATTGAAGTACATATGAAAAAGATCTAACTTTTAAATAGAGTGTTAACAATATCTTCTAAGCACAGTTGAGGAGTTGCAGATGAACTGTCAACCCTATAGAAGACAAAACAATGTTCTCCCATAATCACTTCACGAAAGGAGAGAAGCGAGGGGCCAGGGGGGCTAAATGTCCTTGGGCCCCCCAATTTTTAACAATGGTCGGTAATTGTTGCACTTTTCTGTCTTACACCGCAAGACAGTTGCGCTTCGTGGGGACTGTATACTATCAAAACAATACCATCGGAAATAGAACACACACGCGTACTTTAAAACTTATTTATTTAAAACTATTGAATCGATAAAATATATTACAAACAATCCTTCTGGTTTTCTCTCGTGCTTTCAGTCTGACAATCAATTCAAAGTCTTTATTCATGACATACGATACATATCTTACGTCAATCAACTAAATCACCCATTGTTTGGTCTCCTACGGCGTTATCAATAGTATAATGTTACAAATTATTCTACACACTCCCCCCTTTGAGCCTGTAGGGGTCAAACATGACTTGTGTTCTCCAATGTGCATCCAAAGCTGCTGCTCTCCTAGGTCTATTACTATGGACACAGCTTTCCACCTTACCCTTCTCTCCGTCTTTATCATTCATTTCCGTCTTTCCTTTCTCATTAATTTTCGTCTTTCCTTTCTGGTTATCATACCCATCCACTTCATTTTCAACTTTATTATCCTTTCTTTCTTCTGTACTGCTTCCGTTCTCATTTAACTCTACAGGATACAATTTCTGAACTGGTCTATTAAGATATACTGCATTTCCTTTAGTCATCACTCTCACTTTCGCTCCTCGAACCACTTCATCTCTACCGACAATTAAACTCTCAATCCTACCTAACTTCCAAAATCCTCTCTTAAGATTCTCGTCAAATACTAAAACTACATCTCCCTTCTTCACTTTACTATCCCTCTTCTCCCTCTTACTTCTATGATGCTCTCTCAAATTCGTCAAGTATTCTTTTCTCCATCTCTCCCAAAAGTGAACTCGCAGTTTCGCTAGATGCCTAAACCTACGCTTAACCTTTGTCTCATCATTCTCGTCAATTTTGTAACTAGTCTCGTCTGAACTTAATTCACAGACATAATACACAACTGCACAATAGGCTTTCAAACTAGCATCACCAAACCCATGTAATGAACATTTGGGTTTTCCAATTAGATTTCCATACACACGCCTTGGTATCATAATTTGACCTACAACTTCAAGATCATGAACCCAACCTAACCATTGCTTCAAATATTTTCCTTTTAATTCAGAATCCCAATCTACTTTGTCCAAACACAGTGCTTGAAACAACATCTTAATACTTACTACCATTGGGCTAAGAATTCCCAATGGATCAAACAACCCAGCTAATACTCTAAGAATATTGCGTTTGGTTACAGGTTGCGATTTTGCTTTCTCAACTAAACCCTGAAACAAAAACTGAAATTCATCAGTTGTACAATTCCAAGCTAACCCAAGGACTTTCTCTGATGTGTCATTTTTGCCTGTCATGCAAAGGGATGACTTAGCAAATGTTTCTTCACATGCCAAGTTTCCTCTATCAGGCTTGATTTCTTCCTTTGATTGGATTTTCTCTAATACAATTTTACTGCTACTGAGCCATTTCCTAAGCTTGAACCCCCCAGAAGTTAAATTGTTACTAGAAGCCTCATATAATGATAATGCATGCTCAGGGGTTTGTTCTCCAGTTACCAGATCATCAACATAAAAGCCGTTCTTCAAGTTTTGAGTCAATTCAGGATTACCCTTCGAAAAGCGGTCAAGATGGTGTTGAAGTGTGGCATTCAGCAAAAATGGTGAACAGTTCACACCAAAAACAACTCTACAAAATCTATACTCTACTGGCTTCACCTCATCTTCATGTATGTTGCCCACCCAAAGAAATCTCAAACAATCTCTGTCACACGGATCAATTTCAATATTTAAAAAAGCCTTCTCTATATCTGCTACAAGTGCTATTCGCTTTTCTCTAAAACGCAATATAATGTGATACAACAACGGGGATAGAGGTGGCCCAACATGCAAGCAGTCATTTAAAGATACACCCTTCTTAGTCTCTTTACTCGATGCATCATACACAACCCTGACCTTAGTGGTCTTTGCATCTTTACGAACCAC